ACTTTGACGATTTTACAATGAAATTTGGCCTCCATCATATGGGTTAAGGATATGTGTACTTCATGCAGACAGAAAAGTGGTCCAGCCTTATATGTCTCCAAGAAACAATTGAAGCCAACAATGTAAAAATTGACATTATCCACCCATGATTTAGAATTGGCAGCCAATTAGTTCTAGCATTCAAAAGTAATGTTCGGCATTATCTGTAACGGTGAGGAAGTGTTACATTTACACAGATCATCAGAGTTAAAAAGTATTTAAACGACACAGAAAGGACTAACATCAAGACAAACGACAAGTGGATGCAAGATTCTGGCTAATCTATCGATTAAACTATGTCCATTAAATTACATCCGGGCAAAAGCTAATGTGGTAGCTGATGCCCTTAGCCGGAAATCATTGTTTGCTTTGAGAGCAATGAGAATTAGCAATGGAGTTTGCAACAGCAAGGAAATTATTTCTAGCACAGATGTAAGCTACACCGCCATCTTGGGTTCAAGAAGTTGCAGAAGCACAGGAAAGAAAGATGCCACAAACAGCACTATGGGTGAAACAAGGTACAGGAATGATCAATGGTGGGAAACTTCAGAATTGGATAACAGTTGGAGTCTTAATTCTATGGACGACAGAGTTGTTGTACACATCAAGAATTAGGGGAGCTTAAAACAAAAAAGACTTCTGCATGAAGCGCTCAATAACAGTCCATACACAATGCATCTAGGGTTAGTACCCAAGATGTATCAGATTTGAAGAAAGGCCTATTGGTGGCGCAAGAGCATGAAGACAAGATATCGGAAATGTTGTAACAAGATGTTTAACATGTCAACAAGTAAAAGCCGAACATCAATTGCCGGAGCTGGGTTACTTCATCCAATCACAGTGCCACACATGGAAGTGGGATCCAGATCACGATGGAATTGTTACTCGGTTACCCTCTAGACAAACAGCAGAAGATGATGCAGTATGGGATGATCGTGGACAGATTAAATAAAGTCGCACACTTTCCTTACCCAGTTAGGATGGACTATTCGCTGACAAGTTAGCAAGAGCATTTATGTTAGCGAAATAGTTCGACTACATGGAGTTCCATCAATCCATTATATCTGATCGTGATTCCAAGGTTTACATTCGAATTTTGGGGTAAAACTGCAAGGAAGCATTAGGAAA